GGTTTCGACAACGTTGCCTCAAGAACTGTTCTCCGGCGCTCCTTATGGCAAGGATTCCGTGCCCTAAACCCTAAACCCTAAACCCTAAACCCTAACATGCTAGAAGTCTGTATCCTCAACTTGGCCTCAAGCATCAAAGCGGGTTTAGGGTTCAGCACATGGGGTGCCTAACGACCTCTCCTCTCTGCTCCAAAGCCGTAATCCTCTAACTTCTAGCGTGCCACGGTTTAGGGTTTAGGTTTTAGGGTTTAGGGTACCTTAGTCGGTGGGAACCCTGAAAGGCCCCGGGGCCTCTAATTCACCAAGAGATATCACAAGCCTCTGCACGAATGTGAGGACTCTGAACCTTTTGGAGCTAGGCAGGGGGGAATCCGGGGGGTCGTGCAGACAGATGTTCATCCTCGCTCTCTTCCTCGGGCTTCGCGTCACCCGCAGGAACTTCCCACTCGGCTTCCTGGCAGAACATCGCGACATCCGATGTGGAGAAGTAGCTGTTCTAAAACCCTAAACCCTAAAACCCAAACCCTAAGCCACCTGCCGGGGGCGTCGACGGCGGCCTCCTCCTCTACGACCTCAGGGCTTTTGAGGTTGAAATATTCTTCGGGTTTAGTTTTTTTTTTTCCCAGGGTTTAGGGTTTAGGGTTTAGGGTTTAGGGTTTAGGGTTTAGGGTTTAGGTTTAGGGTTTAGGGTGGGGGGGGGGGTGGGGCGGGGAAAGGGTTTAAGGGTTTATGAGGGCGAAAAAGGGCGTTTGAGGTTGAAAGATTCTTCAGGTCGGGGACCTAAGGGCACATAAGAGTTTATAAGTAGTTATAAAGGCTTCTCAGGGTCTTCAGGGCTTATGAGGGCTTATAAGGATGCAAAGGGCTGATAAGGGTCGAAAGGGCTTCTAAAGGTTTCAAGGGTTTATAAGGATTCAAAGGGCTTCTAAGGGTTTATAAGCGCTTCAAAGGCTTATAAGGGCTTTGAGGGCTTTAAGGGTTTAAGGGTGTGAGGCTGGAGAAGTCTCTGCAGCTTCGTCTTCTTCCAATGCTGCCCCAACCCACACGAAGCCCCTAAACCCTAAACCTTAAACCTTAAACCCTCCACTAAGACGACCAAGTGTGCAAGAGGAGACTTGCTGGCCTTTGAGGTTTAGGGTTTCGGCTTTTTTAAGCTCGATTCGTATACACTTCAAAAGCCCGTCCGATTGACCTTCCCGCTGCTCCCCACGTGTCTAGGGTTTAGAGTTAGGGGTTTAGGGTGTGCAGCCAGGGCACGTCCTTTTTTGATGGGATCTGTGGGCGGGGTCGGTGCCGCACGAGGCAATTTCCAATGCGCAAGCTCTCCAGCACCTGAACCGGGCAGAGTTTTCTAGTTCGCCTTCGGGCGTGAACGGGGCTTCTAGCACCCAAAACGTCACCCCTAAACCCTAAACCCTAGACCCTACAAAGGTCTGTTCTTCAAGGCCTACAAGCCCGAACTATGGTGGAGAGCCATGCGGAAGGTGTAACAAATGCTCTGCTCAAGTTGAGTGGCTGAATACCTTGCCACCGAAACCCTAGAACCCGAAAACCCTAAATCCTATAGCCCCATACCCCCAGAACACTGCAACACCTAATTCCTGTCAACCCTAAACACCCTAGACCCTAAATATACATCTTTACATACATATACATTTTTCAGTTATCTAAATTAACCATCCCCGACCCACTGCGGGGCGCAAGGTGTTTCAGTTTTTTCGGGCTTCGATACACGTTTCACCCTAAACCCTAAACCCCATAAACCCTAAACCCTAAACCCTACAAACCCTAAACCCTCACACTGCTGCCATGGCCGTTTTGCATCCCGGGAGCAGCGAAAGCCGTGGGTGAGGGCGTTGCCATACTCATGGGACGCATGGCAGCCTGAGAGAAGGTAGCCTGATATGGGCACCCTTCTTTTGGTGGGTTACTTTATAAGGGAACCCAGAACCAAAAAAGTGTAATTAAAGGGTACCACTGGGCTACCAAGTTGAGAGAGGGTGGAGAGTATCGAAAGCGGCACGCAGAGGATGAGCTTTGAGGACCTCTACGAAATCCTCCTCCGCGCAAGCATGACTTACACCTTGGCATGTTCCCCCTTATACGAACAGCTCCTTAGTAAGGGATTATCATACCCCCATTTTTAAATCCCTATTATGGACTGTCAGTATAAAGGGGAAAATCCAACACGCGGGCCCATGGGTTCAGCATTTAAATCTCACGCATTCTTGGGAGTCTAGACTTTGGGGTTGAGGGCTTAGTGTGTGTTGAACAGGGTTTTGTGAAGATGAAGGCGCTGCTTGGGGTTGGAGAAGGGGGGGGAGGGGGGGGGTTTTGGGGGGGTTTACCCTAAACCCTAAACCCTAAACCCTAAACCTAAACCCTAAACCCTAGGGGCTTTTTGGGGTGGCTGGGGTGTGGGTTGGGGTGGGGAGGTGCCAGTCTTGCGAGTGCTCAGCGTCGGGCGCTTACAGCAGTAGCCGCCAAAGCTTTCGGTCTTCGAAGCCTGTTTAGGGCTTAGGGTTTAGGGCTTAGGGTTTAGGGTTGGGCCCAGGGCTTAGGGGGTTTGGGGTTCAGGGTTAGGGTTTGGGGTTCAGGGGGTTTAGGGCTTAGGGCTTAGGGTTGAGGGGCATTTTGGGGTAGGAGTAGCCTCCACGGCATGACGGAGTTCGGTCTGGAAGGGGAGTTCCTGCTTTCAATCGAGATACATTGAGGTTGCAAATTCTGACTTCTATGTAACCCTAAGGGTCCATGTACCTAAATAGGGACTACTTGGGCCTTGATTCTGAAGCGCTTCCGGTATAAGGACTTTTCGGCTCAAGTATATAATAATGAGGTACATGGACCCTTAAGGTAATCCAGTGTGCATGTCGTAAAGTATACAGAGCCAGCCTACTCTCCATTGTATCCTATACTAGCCTAAACCCTAAACCCTAAACCCTAAACCCTAAATTATCTTACGAACTATCTGAAACTGCGCTGTGCCATCCTTCTAGACTGTAAGGTGAAATATGCAAGACGAGGCCACTCAACAAAGGCCATAAGTTCCCCCTAGAAACATCTTGAAGATCATGGCCACTTCTCTAAATTAGGGTCTCCTTTTGGGGTTGCCACTATAAGGCGGGCCCATCATATTTAGGGTACCCAAAAAGGGACCAGAATTTGGAGTAACGACTAAACCCTAAAACCTAAACCCCTAAAAAAAACCGAGAAAGCCCTAACAAAAACTCCAAAAATCCGAAACACGACTGAAGGCCCTAAACCCCAAACGCTCAGCTCCCTAAACCCTTACCCCCCCCCCCTCCCCCCAATCCCAAAATGCGAAGACTCAGCCCAGAAACAAAGTTGGGGCAGATACAGTACTTCGGGTATAGGGTCTTTGCGGAAGGTTTGGGGCCTGCCGGGATTTTCGGGCTTGGAGGTGCAGGCCCATTCCGGCCATTCCCCTTTCCCTTCCTGAATTTGTAAGCTACAAGAAGGTGTATCTACCTTTACCTTTAGGGTCGGTTTGAGTTTTGGTGGGTTTAGGTCGAGGGTTCTCCCATCATGATGGGTTCCCTTACTACCCCCTTCTATACTACCTCCCCGCCCTAGGTTCCCCCTCCCATGATTAAGGCTATTACTTAGGGATAATTGAACCTAGTTAAGGTTGTTTAATTTAAGGAGGGAACTAGGGGAGGGGGGGTAGTATAGAGGGAGGGGTAGTAGGGCAACCCATGATCCCAGTGCCTTGTACTGACAGGCGGGGTTGGCACATGCCAACTCCTTGCGCTTGACCTTGGCCTCAGCAGTCGGTCGTCGTGTGAGGGATTGGGGTCGGGAGCATAAGGCCTTCCAACAGGTCACCGAAATCACCTATAGATGCAACATGACCCTGACATCTTTAATGCTAATCAGACTCATGAAATACATGGTAACGACTAGTACTCAAGCAGTATAATGATGAAGGCTTATCACGCTGTTGGGCTTCTGGGTACGGGTCTGCTTGGTCGGGCAGTGTAAGGCGACATCACTCCGACCCCATGTTTCCGAAACACCGAAGCTGCAAACCTGAGAGCAGTAGGGTTTAGGGTTTCGGGTTAATGCCATGAACACACCCCTTGGACAAAAAAAAACGAACCCTATGTCAAACTGTGCAAAGATACTTCTGTAGACCCTAAAAACCCTCTGAGTTCGGCACCGGCATTGGGCCAAGGTCGTCAAACGCCACAAAGGGGGCCAGAAACCGAGCTTAACGCATGCGTCTGTTTTTGTTTCTGCTCTTGCTTCTTTCAACCGATACTTGCTGGAGGGCCGAGGGCCGTAGAGGGCCGAGGGCTTAATGGTTTAGGGTTCTTTTTTATGTAACAGGAACCCTTATCTAATCCTGCCACATACAATCCGAATGCCCGAAAAAGGGGACCCACCATAATCTTAGAGAAGTGAGCATGTGTATTCTCCTGTATATGGCTACGGCCGAGACCGAGAAAGAGCAGGATCGCATGCGCATGCCCAGCTGGCAAACTTGCACCTCTCTCAAACCTTGGTAGCCCAGTAGCCCTTTTTTGGGTTGGTTACTTTATAAGGGACCTTGAACCCCCCAAAAAAAGGGAGAAGGGTACCACAGGGCTACCAAGAAACCAAGCCCTAACGACCTGAATGCTAAGCCCTGGGAAGCTGAAAAATGCAAGTCCGCCCCACTCCTGGCCCGAACTTGTCTGCAAGGAGCTTAAGGCAAGAATACCTCCCCACTCCCCCCCTATAAACGGCCCTAAAACCTAAAGTCAGGCCGATTTTTTTCGAAAGATGCCCCCCCCCCCCCCCCCCCCCCAGAATCGCAACTCTCGCCACAAAACATGGAACCCGCAACAACCCCTTCTTCTTAAAACCAAAGGCCCTCTAAAACCGAAAGACATCATCAACAAGTGCAGTTTCATTTTCGGGGCTAGGCCCTTGCTGTGGGCTTCAAGCTTCACGGCCTCCCCCCCCCCCCGGGGGAAAGAAAACAGGCACAGGCCCACCCGAATGACGAAAGCTGGTAGGATGGACTGGCGCTTTAGCCTGCTGGCGTTCAGGGCGTAGGGTAATTTCTGACTTACGTGGAGCGTGGTCGTTGGGTTTACGTCAAGTCTGGGGCCTTGCCGCTGTATCTAATCATCATAGACCCTAGCTATGTTGGAGTTGTCCAGAAGACTTGGGTCAGAAGTGGTTTAAGATTTCAAGCGGAGGAAAGCAGGGACCATTTGCTGCCTGGGTCTGTGTAAGCTTGCAACTGCGCAACGACAGCAGAGAAAAGACAGCGACGCAGCCTAGACCTACAAACCCTAGACCCTGAACTCCTGAACCCTGAACCCTAAACCCTAGACTCCAAGTAGCTGGAGCAACGGATTTCGAGCATTGTGTGGTGTTCAACATGGCTTTCAGGCAAAGGGAGGCAAGCGCTGGAGCAAGGGTGGTTTAGGGTTTAGGGTTTAGGGTTTAGGGTTTAGGGTTTAGGGTTAGGGTTTAGGGAAATATAGGGGTCGGAATCATTCCTATTGGTATTCCCTTATGGTTCCTTTATACTTACCCCCCAAAGCCCTATTCTAATTATCAAGGCCCCCTACGGTAAGGATTAGGGGTTTCAATGCCCGCAGCTGAGGGTTTTCGAGCCGTCGCCGAGTTGCACCTCACTTCCCACTCGCGTGAGGGTTCAGGGTTTAGGGAGGTTCGGGAGGGGTGGGGCGAGACTGGTAGTGTGGCCCTAAATATCTTCCTCACAAGTCTAGCCGCAGCCCAAACGTCTTGCCTGAAGACTGGGCCCTGGATACTGACAACAGTCCTCGGCCCGATTTGAAAAAAAGAAGCCCCAAACCCTAAACCCTAAAACCCTAAAACCCTAAACCCTAAACCCTAAACCCTAAACCCTAAACCCCCCGAAACCCTAACCCCCCCCCCCCCTCACGGCCTTGCCGCCGCGGTGGCCACTTCAGTGCCCAGGGAGGCCGCATCGTCGAAGAAGGTGAGAGTTTGACGGAGGAGCTGATAGGAAGACCTGGGTTACGACTCGCCTAGACTGCGAGAACCTGTTTGTCTTGCGAACTCCCAAGGAACCCAGATCTCCCAAAACCCCTGAATTAAGGAATATACCCGGATTGATACTAAGGATTATGAATGTGAATTTGGGTGTATTCGTTAATTAAGGGGTTTTGGAAGATCTGAGAAGTTCGGACGTTTAGGGTACAAGTCTTTAAAAGTAGGTAGGGTTTAGCGACTGTGGGAACAGAGGCCAGCGCTGGTGGGGGTGGGCGTTAGGCGACGAAGCTCTCACTTGTTGCATCTTGGGCACCTGCTTCCAATTTCCCTCACTAAGATGAAGACAAGGCCCCCCCTAAAACTAAACCGTACACCCCGACTGAGAGTAAGAAAGGCCCCCAAACAAAACCTAAACCCTATACTATGACTAAGAAAAGGCGAGCAAACCCTTCTGGTGCATAAAAAACCAATAATACACCCTACACGTTACCCTTACTAAGGAAGATTTACTTCTTATTGGGGGGTGGTTCTTAAGCAACCTAGAAACCCTACGCTTATAAGCCCTAAACCGTAAGCCCTTTCTGGATCGCCAGGCGCTGGCGGCTTCCCGCTGGCATAATCCACAGGGTTGGCAAAGCCTGAGTCTCGTGGCACGTGGGGTTGGGGGTTTGTATGGTTTAGGGTTTTGGGGTTTTGGGGTTTAGGGTTTCGGGTTTAGGGCTTAGGGTTGGGATGTCTCCCTGATGCTAACAGTCCTTAATAGTGGTTAGAATGGAGGGTGCGATAACCTTTAGGGCTTAGGGGTTATGGGGGTTTAGGATTTTGGGTTTAGGGATCTGTTCTGAGTGAGGAGCTGGGGAGTTAGGTGGGAACATGTTTAAGTTTAGGGGTTTAGAAAAGTTTAGGGTGTAGGGGCAGTCCCTACCCCAAAACTTACCCAATCCCCCCCGTGATTGTTGATTTGTTTTGCCGGACTACCAGAGAGGTCGGAATAATTACGAATACAATTTCTTTCTTTTATGGCCCGATAGAACTGTACCAGAATAACCCCCCAAACCCCCTTTTTTCTCATTGTTAAGGCCCCTTATATTTCCTCCCCAATATTTATTAACTTGTTGGGGGGGGGGGGGGGGGGGGGGGGGGGGGGGGGGGCGGGAAAAGGAGGGAGCTGTGCAAGGTTCAGGGTGCTGGGTTCTGAGGGCAGGAAGCCTATATGCATCTTGGGATGCTCCCCCTTATACTAACAGCTCCTTCAAAAGGGATCATAGGGTTTAGGGTTTAGGGATAGGGGGTACTATAATCCTGTTAGTACAAGGGGGAACATGTCAATATGTATCCTTTATCCGTGATCTGGAGCTCCATTTGCTTGTTTTTGTTTGTTTGGGAGGGAGGGAGGGGTGGGTGGGGGGGGGGGAGTTCTGACTTATATTTAGGGGTGTTAACTTACTAGTTTGTAGGGTTTGGGAGTCACGGATATCTACTGACGAGCACGTGTGTGAATTCCAGTGAAAGCGCACAAGAAGCCCATCTTCCACAGATCTTCACCCCTCCCCTCCCAGTGGCCCAGTGACTTCAGGCAGTAATAAAAAGGGAAGGACCCGCAAAGCATGTTCCTGTCGGGTTCGGGGACGAAGGAGTCAAGGGGTTAGACTTGCCAGAGCTGCCCACCCTAGCGACCTAGCCGGCCTGAAGGTACAGCTTTAGACTCAGTCGCCAAAAGAATGCGGCCACGAAGACCAAAAACAGCCCAAGCAGCAATGTAGTTGCTTCGTCTCCTCCTCACCATACTCCACCGCCAGGGAATGGTTCTCTCTCTCAATTTCTCTCTCTGGCAACCACCCCATCCGGATTTTCGGCAAGCTTTCGGCTACTTTCGGGTTCAGGGTTTGGGCAAGACACCATAGGATCAAGAGCTTTGGGGTACCCACTTAGAGGGTTTTTCGGGCTTTCGGGTTCAGGGCGGACATGCTCAGACATGGCCTCCACAACAGCCCAGCACTTCTCCACGCTCGCATTGCTCCGCACATCCACACGGAAGAGCCAGCCGGCACCTCTCCAGACTCGGATTCAGGGAAGCCCGCGTGCGAATTTGGGCCCTGAGCTTCCTTGAAGGGTTTAGGGTTTAGGGCCCCACGACACACACCGGGCCTTTCCGCGCAGCCTCACGGTTGAGGCGCGCGCGCCAAGACTCGGCCTCCTAGCGGCTGCCGCAATTTTCGGCGTTTTGTTGGTTGTTGAGGGTTGAGGGTGAGGGGTTGAGGGTTTAGGGTTTCGGGCTTAGGGTTTTACGCTAAGGCTGCAGATAGCCCAAAGTAGTTATTCTTAACAGACTCTAGACCCCACTGCAGGTATTACTTGTATACTTGGAGCCTAGGGTTAGGGTTTATGAGGTTCACGGCCTAGAGCCTTGATAAAGAAAACTCAAAGACCCCCAATCCCCTCTGCGAAGCCGAGTTGCACCTCTATCCCTTCAAGCCTCAAAGCCGCCATTTAACACATGGCCTAGAAGTAGGGTGACTAGGGTGACTAATGTCACAACTAGCTGGAACTTTTCTGATATCTACAAACCCTAAACCCTAAACCCTATAACGAGTCGAAAAACGAAGGAAGAAGAACAGGACTTCGGGCTGTTTAGGGTTCCGGGTCGACGGATACCGGGAGTGCCTCAGCTGTCTCCACACAGACAAGGATCCGCTCACCTGCCAGAGTTGTCACGTCAATTGGGTTTAGGGTTTGGGGTTTAGGGTTTCGGGGGGGGGGGGGGGGGGCATTGCCGGGCTTTGTGAACCCTACAAACCCTACAAACCCTAAGTGCCTAAACCCTAAACCCTAAACCCTAAACCCTAAATCCTTCTCCTCCACAACCCCGCAAAAGCGCAAGGATTCGAAGGTCCCAGGTGCCCTTCACTCCGTCTGTCGAAGGCTCGCAGACCAGCTCGAAACCTTTGGGATGCCAAAGCAACAGAAGTAAGGTTTAGGGTTTAGGGTTTAGGGTTTAGGGTTTCGGGTTTAGGATTTAGGGTTTAGGGTCTAGGGCTTAGGGTTCAGGGTTTCAGGTTTGGGGTGTCGGGTTTAGGGTCTAGGGCTTCGGGTATCGGGTGATCTTGGGTAGTTACAAGCGGCCTTTTGGTTTTCGCTTCCGCACAAGGGGCCTACAGCAGGGCTTCAGGGAAACTTCGGGTAGTTACAAGGGCCTTTAGTGACTTAGGGTTCAGCAGGGCTTCCATAGGGTTTTAGGGTTGAGGGGACACTTAGGGTAGATGCAAGGGCCTTTAGTATGGGTTGGGATTTAGGCCATATGTCAGAACCCTTTACACAAGAGATAGGACCATAGTAAGGGACCATGGACCTGCTTTTAGGACGTCTCCTGTCGCATTGCCCCGTTGGGGGTCGAACAGGCTCTGGGCTCCAGGTGTTTTCGGGAACCCGACTCTCCCTTCCAGGGTCAAAGGGGTCCTAAATCACAGCCACCTTCTTTCCCCTTAAACCCGCCAAAGGACCCTATAAACCCCTAAACCCCTAAACCCCTAAGCCCTAAACCCTAAACCCTAAACCCCAAAACCCTAAACCCCTAAACTTCCTATACACTAAGAAGCCTTTGCTCAGCCTTTCCAAGGTGCCGAAAGCACCCAGAGAGCCAAGCCATGCGCCGACCTCCGAGGCCAAGAGGGAGCTCAGCTCCAAGACCTCTCTGAAAGGTTTGCCAAGGGATTTTGTTTAGGGTTTAGGGTTTAGGGCTTAGGGGTTAGGGTGCTTTTTTCCCTCCAAGACCTCTCTGGAAAGTCTCTCCTAAGGGATGTCGGGGTTTGTGGTTTGTGGGGTTTTTTCGTGAGGGTTCAAGACCTCTCTGCAAGGTTTTGCCAGGGATTTAGGGGTTTTCGGGTTTTTAGGGGGTTATAAGTAGGGGTTGCTGTTTTTACTTCCTTTATTTCTTTCTTTCTTTTTTTGAGGGGGGGGGGGGGGGGGGGGGGGGTGGAGCAGGTCCCGTTAAGGGGTTTGTGGTTGGGAGGTTGTATGTGTGTGTGTGTGTGTGTGTGGGCGCGCGCGGGTGTGCGTGTTCGTGTACCAGCCGCCCAGCACTCGTCCGCACTGCAGAGACAACTTGACAGGGCGAGTACTTTGAGGGTTTTCGGGTAGGGGCTTAGGTTTGCGAGTTTTTGCTGAGGGATTCGGGTTTCAGAAGTTTTTTGCTGAGGGATTCGGGTTTCAGAAGTTTAGGGTTAACAAAAAGTGCTTTCGACTCTCACACTCCTACCCAGAAGGTGGGGCCGTGCTTTCGCGATAAACTGTAGGACTAACTGAATTGCCACATCTCCCTCAATCTGAACTCACGCCCTGGCGGGTTTAGGGTTGAGATGTTCCCCCTTTTACTAACAGTCCTTATAGTGACTATAGTACCCCCTAACAACCAAATCATAATCCGATTTAGGACTGTTAGCATAAGGGGGAACATCCCAAGTTCAGGGTTTCAAGGCTAAGTGCCTTAAAACTGGGTTGTGGACATAGGGGCTTCAAGGCTTGAGCGGGCAATGGTGTTTATGGAAGCCCGTGTTCCTGGTGGCAAAAAAAGCAATCTCGATGTGGATTCCACCGGCGATGGAGAAAGTCGAGGTCGGAAGCCAACAACGCTCCAACGCTGCGTCTAGCCGCTAAACCTCACAAAGGTACTTGCCTCACAGCCCGGCAGGGGAAGAGCCGTCTCGGGAGCATCGCGGCCCTCAGGGGTCGAACACATAGGAGTACCCCTTTTTACACCCCAAATAGAATAGAATATCCTTGAAGGGGCCCCCAAAAAGGGTGCCCCTATTAGGCTTTCAGGCATGAGGGTTTAGGGCTCAAGGGTTTAGAGGGTTTGGGTTTCGGGAAAGGGCTCTACGTAGGTCATGTGGAGCTTTCTTCTTGTTTCCCCTTTATTGGGTTTAGGACTGAGGGGTTTATGTAGGAACCATGCTTCAGAGGGCTTTAAAGGTGGGGCGGGAGCTCCGCATCCCAGCAGTCTGGAGATTTAGGCTGTTTAAGAGTTTACTTGGAGTTTCGGGCTTGGGGCCTAGGGTTTAGGGGGGAGTGTACTCGTAGACCCAATTTTAGCCGTACTCATAAGCACCCCTAAGTCCTCCAAGTAGGTTATCAGTAGACCAAGTAGGTCGTACGAGAGCTAGGCTGGCAATGCTCAAGCGACGGAGGCGAACATGAAGCTCAGGAGCAGTGAACCCCCCACATTAAACCCTAAACCCTAAACCCTAAAAACCCTATCAACAAACCCTAGATGCCCTGTAAGTTACCAACCCAAGGGGATTTTGGGGTTTGAGGTTCCTAAACCCTAGAAGTTGGGATGTGCCCCCTTTTACTAATAGTTCTCAATAGGGATTAGAGTACCCCCCTCGCCCCCATTGGGAACATCCCAACCTACAAGGGCTCACGAAGCCCTAGACTGTTAATTTGAAGAGCATTCGGCTGTTTCCCAACAAGGGCTACTTACTCCGTACAACCCAAAATAATGACCCTGATTTCGAGAAACCCGCCAAAAACATAGGTGCAGTCAGTTCGACTGTACCCTAAACCCCAAACAAAAACAAACAAAAGAAGCAGGTGCCCTACTCTTGAGAACCCCGCCCCCCATTTCGGCCTCAAGCTGGCGGAGAACCAAATGGCGCGCCCGCACTTCGGCCCAACACCTGGGCGTCATGGCCCGAAGGGCAAGAATTCCAACTGGACCCGGGAGTAACCTAGGAATACAAAAGGGTACCCTTTTTTCGTTTTAAGGGAATTATAAGGGAACCCCCAACCCGAAAAAAAGGAGCTAAAAAAAAACCTACTCCCGGTCCTAGTAGATGCCCTGTCATCGCCACAGGGTGGCTTCATGGTGCCCTTTTGACGGGCCCTTATAAGGGGACCCCTTCTACACCCCCTTTTTTCCCCTATGGCAACCCAAGGGCCCATACTCCAGAACCCTTTAAAGAGGGCAAGGAACGGCGTCCTCGAGAACCAAAGAAAGTGGTTATGGTTCGTATTCCTTAATCGGGAGTCTAGCAGTATAGGGTATGTGTTCGTTTGCTCCTCAAGGTTGTTTTAGTTGTTCAGGTTTAAGGAGCTTTGTGGCCTTTGGGGCTTTCAAGGATATAGCTCTTAGGGCAGTAGGGGCTCTTTTGCATGAAACGTGCTTAGGGTTTTGGGTTTAGGCTTTAGGGTTTAGGGATTAGCTGCATGTAGCTAGGTCGAGGCTCTCGGATGCCCAGTGCTTGGGCTTCGGGCGTTCAGGGCTTTCACGGCTTCGAAGCTCTTGGCTTTGCAGAGGGGCCCAAAACTACCCAGATCTGCTGTAAGTGTGTAGGGTTTAGGGTTTAGGGTATGAGGGAATGAGGGCCCTAAAAAATCCCTTAAAGGGTATAAATAAATAAATAAATAAATATATATATATATATATATATATAGGGCCCTCATTCCCTCATTCCCTCCTAAGAACCGGCCAGAAATGGCTTCATGCACTAAGATGCAAATAGCCCTTCAGGACGCCGAATGCCGATGATTCTCAAACCCTACAAAGTCGAAGGTGATAAGCCCCCCCCCCCCCCCAAATATGGGGCACAAGCCTCAAAATAGTAGGCACATGGAAGCCCAGATTCTCTCAGGCGGGTTTAGGGTTTAGGGTTTAGGGTTTAGGGTTTAGGGTTTAGGGTTTAGGGTTTAGGGTTTAGGGTTTAGGGTTGGAGAAGATGTTTTGCTCTTCTCTTGCGCGGCACCGGAATTGCGACATCCCATCGTCGCCCTAAGCTGAGTTATGTTGAGGGATCAGGGCTTTGATTGTCAAGGGGTGCTTCAGGGAAGCTCACCGGCGATCTCCTTAAGAAAGTCACAAGGAGACTAGAGCTGTGGTGACACCTCGGCCTCTCTTACTTGCTTTTGGGTGGTTTAGGGTTTAGGGTTCAGGGTTCTCTCTCGTACTTGCTTCTGGGTCTAGGTGGAGGAGACCAGACGTGGATGGTGTAGCTGCCCCAGTGGAACGTCGCCTCAGAATCGGCCGGGGCGAGGCTGATGCCAAAGTGGGTCTCGGCAGTGGACACCATGACCTGCACTGAATTTGGAAGCCTAGCAAAAATTCTATCATGACCTTCTTTCCTGGGGAACTACAGTACCCCCAAAAAAACACTTCCAAGTACCCCTAAGTGACATTATAACTGCTGTCATCCCAAGCGTGGGCAATCTCCTTGCGGATGCACTTGGCGAAAGACGTCTGGTCGGCGTTGTAGCATGCGACGATGGTGTCTTCCAGAAAGGCGAGGGAGTCGTCCCAGAAGCCCATGGTCGCGTAGAGCGCGGCTTGCGGCTGACCTGGTGGTACCCGCTCTGCAGCCTGCCCCTGGGACTCGTCGTGCATGCGAACTGCAGATCCGGCCGTGACCAGCACTGCAATCACAGCTGCCCATTGTGCTCGCACACGTCGCATGAGTTTCGCAAACCGAAGTCGTGTCTCGGCAATTCCAAACCTGCATCGCTGGCTTGAGCCCCGGCAGCATGATGGTTCAGGGTTTCGGGTTCAGGGTTTAGGGTTTCGGATTTAGGACTTAGGCTTTAGGATTAGGATTTATAGGGTTTAGGGCTTAGGGCTCTGCATGAAACTGTTCAGTTCTCTTTGTGCAAGTAGAAGTCTCTTCGTAGATGCATGCGCCCCACACAAAAGTAGGTTGTCGCACTGTGCAGTTGATGGTAGCTTGCAATCACTACCATTGGTCACGTCGCACGGGTTATCGTCTTAATCTTAAGCCTTCAGCCTTTCTTCTCCTTTGCCCATCAGCATCCACCTTCATGTCTGACTCGCCAATGATTTCCATGTCCGTAAAGCATCTCTGCCAACCTTACGGACTTAACACCTCTTGACCCCACATGCACCTTTGAGACAAAGTCCGACTTTGCCATTATTCTGACGACCCCCCTCCCCAGCACCCCAAAAACCTTGAAACCGCCCTAAACCCTAAACCCTAAACCCTGAATCCTATATCAACCACAACCTAACTTCTGGGCCCTCGCACTTCTCCCACACTGGCCGGCGGAAGAAGTGACGGGGCTGAAGCAGCCAAATAAAGGAGCCCGGCTGCCGGGGCGTCCTCCGTTTATGGCTCAGGGTTTGTTATGGACTGTTGGTTTGACATACTGAAAGGGGGTACAAGGCAGAGGGCAAATTTCAGGGTTAGAGGGCTTACTGTATGGTTCCGTGCCTCGAGGGTTCAAGGGCATCCAACTGCAGCCACCTTGGGCACGAAATCCTAAACTGACACCTGTTCGCTGAGAGCTCATTAGATTTTCAAGGCAGTATTAGCCGTTTGCTGTTACACTTCGCAAAACGACGCATCTCCCTGTCCCTCTCTCTCTCTCTCTTACGTATGCCCTGTGCTCAGTCTGCCAGTCGAATCTCACATTGCTGAAGAACGGTGAGAAAACCTTCGCCCCTAAACCTCGAAGACCACAGTCATACATGCTTCATATTGCCGAGGCCTCTTCTTTCCCGCATGCCCCAAACCCTCTACCCTAAACCCTAAACTTAAACCCTAACCCCTAAACCCTAAACCCTAAACCCTAAACCCTAAACCCTAAACCCTAAACCCTAAACCCTAAACCCTAAACCCTAAACCCTAAACCAAACATATACAGGACATGCTGACCACAACAGGCCTCCCACCATCCTCTAACGCGGGCTGCCTGCGCATCAGTCGGGTTCTCTGAAGGGTTTCGGGCCCGCACGGCAGGGAAGAGAAGCCCAGGGTTTAGGGTTTAGGGTTTAGGGTTTAGGGTTTAGGGTTTAGGGTTTAGGGTTCTGGGCAGCTACGTACACAACAGGGACGAGGGTGCATTTCGAGTGTCCGTTCGTGGGGTGAGGTGCTTCTTGTTCCTGCTATACCAAGCCTCACATTTCTTCGGGACCAAACGAACCCCAAAATTGGGATCATATACCCTATACCACTGCAATCCCTATATTAGGCTTTTTGAACCATAAACCCTTTTTGAGGTTCATGTGGTCCTCAAGCCCCAAATTGGCGAAGCGGAACCCCCCCACCCCCCCGCACCCAACTGCCAAGATGACATGAGTAGCAAACCCGTCTTTCAGGGTTTAGGGGGTTGGAGCCTTGTTCTGGTTTTCAAGTGCCCACATAAGATTCTAGCAAAGCCTGCGGACATTCATTGCTTGAGCGCCTAAAACTTAGGTCCTGCTGGGCACAAAAGGCACCCTAAACCCTTTTTGCATCCGGGCTTGGGGAGTCGGCCGGGAATGGTCTCCCTAAACCCTAAACCCGAAAGCAAAAAGGCTAGGCCCGGCACGATGGCGCGCGCACCCAACGGAGCCGCCAGAGTCGCGGCCTGCAAACTTGAGTCTCGGAGGAGAGGCTTCGACAAGCGGGTTTAGGGTTTAGTGTTTAGGGTTTAGGGTTTAGGGTTTAATGGTGAGTTAGTGGTTTCCGAAATTGGGATAACCTTACTGGGGTCCTCCTCCCTAAGGGTCCATGTACCCCATTATTATAAACTTGGGCCGAAAAGCCCCTATACCGGAGGTACTTTCAGGCCCAAGTAATCCCTGTTTTGGTACATGGGACCCTGGGGTATTATCAGGAAATCCTACTATTTGGGGGGTCCCCAATTTTCGGAAACCCACAGTTGTGACTGACCATGAGCAAAAGCGGAACGATGTGCACGTGTAAGTTTGAGACTTCCGAGACCCCAAGTACCCGAAAAGGCAAGCTTGTCAAACAATCGTGAAAAAACCAGAAGCAGCCTCCTTGGCAATGTCTTTGGCGCCTGTCCAGTCGAGAAGAGCTTGGGGACACAAGGACCAGTGGACCTACGGTAGAGCCCAATGGTCGTTCCTGTTTTGGGGGTACTGTACCGACATGCTCGCGTTGCGTTCAACCCTGAACCCTAAGCTCGAGACCCTAAGCCCTAAACCCTAAACCAACTAACCATAGAAACAAGAGTTTACATTCGGGGAGGGTGGGATCATTGTTCTCGGAGGGTCCTGGATCTGAGTGGGGCCTCGGCATCTGCATCCGCATGTCTGACGATCGGGCGTCTCATGCTCCAACATCCGAAACCCTAAACCCTAAACCCTAATGTTGCTTGTTAGTTTTTTTCAGCCCCTCAACCAAACGAAGTGATTGAAAGGCCAAAAATCTCTAGGTTTTGCTCCAGGAGCCGGAGACCTAGACCTAAACTGCCAATGGGTCTAGGGTTTAGGGTTTAGGGTTTAGGGTTTAGGGGTTAGGACCCTAAACCTAGGGTTTAGGGTTTAGGGTTTAGGGTTTAGGGTTTAGGGTTTAGGGTTTAGGACCCTAAATTGCCGCTGCCTCTGATGCCACGTCCTCGCCGTCGAAACGAGGAGGCAGCCTGGGAATTATGTGGGTTGATGAATTATTGACCTGGTCATTGCACCCTAAACCCTAAACCCTAAACCCTAAACCCCTAAGCCCTAAACCCTAAACCATGGTCATGCGCCCAAGCCGCATCAACGTAGCTCTCCCAGCCGTGGTGGTCTCCTTCCGCCAGGTGAGTTGCGACCCGAAACTCGGGGGAAGATCCCAAGCCGGACTCCCGTGTCAGTCAACACCATAGGGTTTAGGGTTTAGGGTTTAGGGTTTAGGGTTTAGGGTTTACAGTCTTTTCTTGAGACCTTGCGAATACCACCTAGGGATAGGGACTTAATTACAATTTCAGGGGCCCTCATAACTCGACTTGACACTTAGGAAGGGTTTAGGGTTAAAGGCCACAACACCACGCACAGAAACCATGTTCGTCCTCCAAGCGGATGGCAGGAACATCCTGGTCAACAGCTTCAGCTTCTTTGGAATCAGGGCTCAAACCCGACAACATCGAAAATTCTGGGCCTCTCCGGTGACTTCGGCATCGATATCGAAGACCTGCCGAAACCCTTTTAAACCCCATGGCCCAAATTCCCCGGACTCTAAAACCCCATAGACTCCAAAGCCCTTTGTGCCCCAAAGCCTAACCCTGAACCCTGAACCCTAAACCCAAAACGCAAAACCCAATGGTGCGAAGGACCTCACTTGCAGGGTTGGGTACTCCGGAAGCCCCCATGGCTCCCAATTGATGCCACCCTCTTTCATCAGGCATACGTATAGCGATACGGGGATGATAGAAGGGTTTTGACGACATTGGGGTTTAGGGCTTTCGACGCCGCCGTCGTCATCGTCCACAGTACTATCAGCACAAGGAATACGAACAAGAATGGTAAGACATAATCCGTAAGAAGACTTAAAAGAAGTGCCCATGCATTTTCGATGGCCCATTTCCCCCATCCACAAAAAACATCTCGGATTAAAACGGACACCTTGTGAGGCTACTTTCATTCTCTCCCAAAGTACCAAGGGCTGAGCACCCTTAAGCCCTGCACAATTGAGGATGTAAACCCCTATGAAACTCGATACACCCAAGAGAGCCAGTGAGCTCTATGAACCCCATGAATTGGGATGTTCCCCATGGTCCTAACAGTCCCCAATAGGGATTACAATCGGGGGTACTATAAGTCCTATTAAGGACTGCTAGTGTAAGGGGGAACATCCCAAGCCCTAAACCCTAAACCCTAAACCCTAAACTAAACCCTAAACCCTAAACCCTAAACCCTAAACCCTAAACCCTAAACCCTAAACCCTAAACCCTAAACCCTAAACCCTAAACCCTAAACCCTAAACCCTAAACCTAAACCCAGCCCTGTGAACCCTAAACGCTACACAGCAAAAGAGTAGGCCGACGGGGGAGCTCACTGCAGAAAGCACGAAGCCGAGGCTTCCGGGCCCTTGAGCCGAGCCACGGGTACCGCAATGGCTCACCCCAAAGAAGGTGTAGGGTTTAGGGTTTAGGGTTTAGGGTTTAGGGTTTAGGGGTGAGAGATGGAAAACAACTCACTGGTTCCCCCCCAAGTGGGGGCCCAAGTTGGAGGGGTCGCCCGGCAGCCCGAGCTCGAGGCGCCTCCGGCGGCGGCGCCTGCAATCTACGGTACCCAAAGAGCCCAATACCCCTTAATTAAGGAATATGCCTTAAACCATACTAAGGATCCCTATATAAAATAAGCAATATTCCCTAATTAAGGGATATTGGGCTCTTTGGGTAAACCCCAAAAAATTGGAAACCTTTTTAAGGACAAATAGTGCTGGCATGCCCTATACTGTGCTCTTAGGGATTGAGGCTGTTGAGCTTCCAACTTTTTGGGTTCTACTATAGGGGTCTGACTGTTCTGTAGGCCTGTTTGGGTTTTTGTTCTGCCACCTGTCTTCGTGTTTGGGGTTTATGATAGGGTGAGCCTTGCAAAACTGTTCAGGAGACTTTGGGAACTTTGTTGGAGTTTTTGGGTACACAGGAGGTTTGGTCCCAGCA